CAAACCATGAGCAAAAGACCCACCTCCAAGTAAGTTTGGCAGTGTCCTTTTCCCCTCAAGGTCTTAAGTCCAATCACCCCAAAGTCCAACAACCCCAAAGTCTCTGTCCCTGGTCAGTGCCGCCCCAGAATTCAAAAGTTTATCTGCAAAGTTTTACCCCCCACCCCAGCCTGGGTGGAAATGGGGGGCAGGGCACACGGGATGTTAAGGGGCACCTTACGTGGTCCGAAGCCGACTGCCCCACCTCTCTGTGGAGTTCTGCTGCAGCCTTTACCACAAATGGCTCCGCTCTACCAGCCATGCCGTGCCACTCCTCCAGCCATCTCCGCAAACTGCTCAGCTCTGCCAGCCGCTCCATTCCACCAGCCGTCCCATGAACTGCTCCAGCTGCCCCCACAAATGGCTCAGCTCCGCTTGCTCACTGTTCCATGGGCTGCTCCAACCATCCCACAAACTGCTCGGCTCTGCCAGCTGCTTAGCAATATATCTTCAGGCTCCCCCACTGGTTAACACAGCAGTCAGTGATCTCAGCAATTTTAGCTCTTTTAGTGATTTCAGCTTGTAGGAGGGGAGCCCCAGTACTGGTGCACCATTGGCCCAAAGTGAATTCAGTTCAGCAACTTCTAGCTAGATTCGTAATGGAAACAAACTTAGCTCTGCTATTCAACAGTGGAGAGAGGGAATAGTACAATTGGTGTTCCAGGCCCTCAAAAGGGACCCCATACCATCAGATACACATACCTATCCCCAACCTCTCTCAATTCACTGGGTTTTGTAACCCATGCCCCTTGTCTAGCGAGTGCTACTTAGTTACTGGTGAGTCCCTCTGTCATACAACAGTTCCACTGGCCTTGATTCACAGAATCAGGGTAACAACACTTTATTCTTCCTGCCCCAATAACAGAGAAACTGGGGATCCCACACCAGCCAAAGTAAGCACTTTCAGTTGTTGTTGTCCCAGGCTAGGCAGGTGGGTATGCCTATGCAAACAAGATCAGCCCCTGAAGTTCTTTTTCACCCTCGCCATAATTCACCACCAGATGTCAGGATAGAGCTTATCCTGACTCTGCTTACAAGTACATAAATGTAGCTAGTTATGTTACAAAATATTAAAGCTAATCTAAGAAATTCTGGAAGGTTTCTATTTTGTGTCTCAAGAACAAGCGAACATCAAGAAGATAACCTCATTAGCCATGAAACCGTTCATGTTTTAGGAAGGGACCTAATTATAAAAGGAATGTAGGGTGTGTTAATTACTGACAGTGTTACCCTGGATTGGAGGGGTGTGTGTATCCCAGAATGTGATCAAGCCAATTGCAACCATATTATATGCATTCAGCCACCATGAATTAATAAAATAGAACACCACATAGTACAGGGTTAATTGGAAAACAGGCTTTTAGAGGCAAGGTCAAAACTAGTTGGCAATTTCTGTTAATCAGAATGGGAGGCGGGGAAAGAAAGTAAATAATTGAGACTGAAAGAAGATAAGTGGATGGAAGACCTTGAGTCTGAGCGCCTCTGATATTAGAAGGTTATTGAAAATTAGTAAAAGTGATGATCCAGTAGGGGTAATTATAACCTATGTGTTTTGTAGAAGTTAGTTATAAAAAGAATTAGCTATAGAGTGTACTTTGGAGCAGTCCTCTGAAGCCATCTTAAGAGACGTTTTTCCTGACACCTTTTTTCCCGGCGGGTGAGCAACTAGCCACTGTGTACCTGCTGCTAATTACTCAATACCGTTCCAAATTTTAGGTAAATTATCTGGGATGTTCTAAACCTACTGCTTATGTCTGTGTGTGCTCAAATCTAATAAACTGCAGTTTTAGATAGAGTATGCTTACTTGCATTAATCTTTTATCAGACAGAATTGCTGTGTTCCCATTGATTTAGTCCTGACACAGCCTGGAGTGAAACAGTTAAGTTATCACTGCGGTGGGTTCTGAAAACCCTAGGCAACAGCAGTGCACAAGCAAATCTCACTCAACTCAGGAAGACAAGAATCATCTCTTCAAAAATAGTTATAAGATTCAGCAATTTTAATTATTTAAACTAAAGTTTTTTTAAGAGTTATTTAATTTACAAAGACTGTCATGAGAACTAAAAACTTTATATAAAAGAACAGGAGCGTTTCAACTTTTTGAAAACGGAAATTCATTTCCTGTCAAACACTAATAAAATTGGAAGAATATCTCAGAAAATGGAGCAAATTAAAAGTTTTAATTCTGCCTAACTTTAAAAGTTCTCTGATGCTTTCCTGCCACAAGAAGAACACAGGTAATTTAAAAATATTGCATATTGCATATTCTTTAGGCAGATTGCATATTCAGAAACTGAAGGTGTCACCTAAGACCAAAGGCATGCAGCCAATGAAAGTGACAGCAACCAAGCATGGATCTAAACCAGCTTGAAAGAGGTGTGTTTTTCCATAATTTCTTGGAAATAGGAATGGGAAAAGTATTTTTTTAAAACCTCTGCTTAGACACCAACCCTCTGCAACAAACACCCTCTGCTTAGACAGCAAGCATATCACAACTCAGCCTGTCCATCTCTACAAACAAGCTGCCACAGCCAGATAAGAATAGAAAGAGAAGACCCAAGAAGAAACCACCTTAAGAAGAACCTCCCCAAAACTTCAGCGTGAATTGGTGAGAGAAAGTTAATTAAGACACCATCAAGATTGTAGATTTAAACGCATATAATGGTTTTACTGGACTATGGAAATATTGTTGTAACTGACCATACTATGTTTCTCCTGATAGTCACCCAGTGTCTAGACCAGGTGTTTCTGGAGAGGAGACAGGAGCTAAACAAAGAAATAAGATTTAATTAGATTTAAGATTATTAATATTCATAAGTGGCCTCTCAAGACAGCTTCTTAAATGGCTTCGTCTAAGTAATTGACTTAAACATTGTCTTCATTTTCATAGGATGTAGTTAGATTGCTTTCCCATCCTGCCCTTAAACAAATTATTTTGCACAATCATAAACAGTTTGGGTATCTAATAAGATACTAAAATGGAGTTCACAATAATTTGGGGAAACAATATATTCTGATCTTACTTTACCAAACAAAGAATATCCCCAGGAGGCAATCCACTCAAAGGTGTAATCTCTGCTAGAAGCTCTCTGCTCCACAGAGACACAGACAGAAGAGATTGTGACAGAAGTTGGGTTTTGTCATTCATGATGTCTTGTTTAAAGTTTTCTTTTCCTTGATTCAATAATAAAATAGCTATGGTTAATAACTGACTTTCTGCTTAGGTGTTCCCTAAGGTATGTAAAATAACTGTGACTAAAATAGTGGGGGCCACACCCCCTAAGTTGGCAGAAAGAGAAACAATTGGATGAGCTGCCAACCATTTCTTGTTTCTCTAAACTAAACAGTTTTAGTAATTTTTAAAATAAGAGCAACTTGGGATCCCACAGTTAAAATTACCCCTTTCCACTCCACATTCATACACTACAGATTTAGTGTCTTCCATTTACGTACTGCCAAATGTCCACTTATTTCATGGCTACAGGTAAATGATGGACTTACAGACTGGACAGATTGGAACCCCTTGAAACTGAAACTGTCAGTGGGAGATGACTAACACTAACTACAGCCACACAGTACTCAGACAGCACACTTTTCTCAAAGATGTAGTCAATTTTTGGTCCCATTCCCAGATGGGCAGGACAGAAGGGATACATCTCAAGTTTCAGTACATTCAAGAGAGGCAGAGAGAAGATCAGCCACAAGTGCTGCTTCCCCTTTCATCCCAAGCTGAAAGAAGCCTCTCCCTTGTTAGCCAACTCTCTGTCTTCCAAGACTTACTTTGGCTCTCGTGTTGCACTTGAGTGTCATTGGAAAGTTCATTGATGAAGCTTCCCTGCAGCTCAGAGACCAGATACACCACAGAACAAAATTCCTAAACACATGATTAGAGAAGAGGAAATGTTTTATTACAATCCCAGCAGTGTGTGAGCTTTGAGAAAACTCTATTTAAACTGGAAAGAGGTATTGATGTAGAATTTAAATGTGGTCCCACTCTGAAAAGTGACTATTTGAAGATGTTTCTTTTGCACTTAACATATTTGCCCCTTGTGTGTTTTCAGTTTGGAGCTGCCTCCTTCCCTGGCCAAAAAAAAGAAAGAAAAAGAAAACACCCTTTATTTCCTTTTATTTTCTTGTTGGCTCTGCAGAGCTAACATAAGCTAGGTCTATACTACCCGCCTGAATCGGCGGGTAGAAATCGACCTCTCGGGGATCGATTTATCGCGTCCCGTCGGGACGCGACAATCGATCCCCGAATCGGCGCTCTTACTCCACCAGGGAAGGTGGTAGTAAGCGCCGCCGACAGAAAGCCGCAGAAGTCGATTTTGCCGCCGTCCTCACAACGGGGTAAGTTGGCTGCGATACGTCGAATTCAGCTACGCTATTCACGTAGCTGAATTTGCGTATCTTAAATCGACTCCCCTCTGTAGTGTAGATGTACCCATAGGGTTACCATATTTGAACATTCAAGATGAGGACACTCCATGGGGGGGGGGGGGATATTTGCACCAGTATCTACCAACTTGCATTGTATTAATGTGTTGTTATACTGTTATATATGCTGTCCGCTACATGTCGTCTATATTGAGCATATATGATAAAAAGCGATATGGCCTCAAAAGTGAAGTTTAATTATTTAAAGTTTACTGTACTTCTTTATATGTAGTGAGTCCTTTCCTTTCACCAGTTCTTCAGTTTTCTTTCTCCTCATGTACCCACACATACTTCTCTGTAGATCGCATTTTTCTCAGCAGTGGTTGATTGCTCTTTAAGAAGGCATGAAAGTCTTTACAAGAAGTTTGTCTGAAGTTGTACTGTACAAGTAGAATTCCTTTCAGCGACTCAACATTCAAGTTGTTCCTTTCCTTTGTCCACTGGCTTTGCATCAGTGAAAAAATTCGCTCTACATTTGCATTGTGAGAAGGAATAGCAAAGAAGAACTGTGCAATCTTTAACGGTTCTCAATGACACTCAATGTTTTTGGATTTCTCAAAATATTTGGTCCACTTCTGGTGTGCTAGCAAATAATTACTGAACTCTTCATCACTGTTGCAACTTTCCGTAAACTTCTTCAGGTTGCTGACCTGATCAAAACACTTCACGTCATCAATTTGCACCCTGTTATCGATCAGGTACTTGATACAAGGTTCCACATCACTCCAATTCAGTGTCTCACTCAAGGTAATCCACCTGAAACAAGAGATGTCTTCCAGGGGTCTAAGCCACTTCTCCAAATATTCTAAGCATCTGCTGTACATATTATCTACTTCAGCACAGAATTTGTCACACTCTTCATCAATTCCTTCAATGCGCTTTTGTGCCAGTAGTCCCTTAACTTTCAGGGACATAAAGTTGTGAGTCTTGCGTTCAAGAAGGATAGTATGAACCAAGTTCAAACTTTTCAGCACTTCCACGACTGAATTGCTTTCCCTTTCGATTTCTTGGATGTACGTTTGGAATACTCTCATGAGTGAATGCATGTGCCAGAGGTAAATCTCACTTAATTCATACTCAAAAAAATGTCTTAAGCACTGTGGGTGGTTTGTCCTGTGACAGAAAGAATGACTTCAAGGCCGGAAACATCTGTATCAGCCTTGTAATGCCTGGAAATAATGACAGCCATCATGTCTTGCTATGAGAAAGCAGCTTTCTGTATTCAACATCAACAAACTCACAGTACTCCTTCAGCCGCTCAGTTAGGACAGTGTAGATATGAAAGTACTGGTAAATTTTAAAAATAATGTTCTCAATGTCAACGTTCATTCTTTCTGCTGCATGGTGAACACAGTTGTTCAAAATGTGTGCTGGGAAACCCACACCAATTAATGTTCTCTTCTGCAACAACTTCTTTAAGTTTGCAAACACATTCTTTCCATCTTCACCAGGCTGGAGTCCTCCAAACATTGTATTGCAGTTGTCACCTGTAAATGCAATATACTTCTTGAACAAACCATTTTTTTCAAGCGTTTCTTTTACGTAATGAGCAATTGTGTCGGCAGTCTCATTAGGTGTGTTCTGGACCTTCTTCAGTTTTGACCGCAAACCACCATTCTTCCAGTCAAAATACTGAATAGTTACTGGAAATATTTTCACGGAACCATGATTGCTTCCATCTGTAGCAACTCCACAGTAAAATTTATCATTTTCTTCAAATGTTTTCAGAACAACATCAACAGAATGTGGTGCAAGCACAGAGATAACAATTGCTTCTGTCTTGGTTCTAGCACTTGAAAATTTCCGTGCTTCTTCAGAATCAGGGAATGTCAACTTCAGCAAGATAGACTGACTTAAAGCTATTATGCAATGTGCAATCCATTGACTTAAAGCTATTGTGATGCTTAACGGTGTGAAATGCAAAAGCACCCTCTGCTGCAGTAACAGCATCCTCTGATTTGTTGCCTGGTTTTACAAAATAATCTGTCAATTTTGTTGATGAGCTCTCTCCTTGAACTGCTTTTTTGTGCTTGTCAGAGTCCACATGAGTTTGTAAATCATTAGCGCCTTTATTTTTCACAGAGACATAAGTACTAGGTCTATGTACCAAGCACTCAGCTTCCCATTCTTCTCTACCACTTCGAAAACACGGGAATTTCATCTTTAGTTCTTCAGTGAATTTACACTTTCCTTTTGGCATTATGATGCACACACTGATCCCACTCCCCCATATACTGTAGGAGGATCCCAGGCAGAGAATGCACCTTATGTGGTCATCTGTTCTTGACACTGTTCAATCATAGGGACAGTTCTTGAAGCTGAAGAGCTTGTATCCTTCCTCTTTCAAGGACATTCTGTATATAAGAAAAACTGATAAAAGGGGTGAAGGCTTCAAGGTGGCAAACCACCAAGACAAGCCAGAGCCTTGAAGTGCCAAGGTTTCAAGGTTCCAGGGCACTGGAACAGGCCGAAGTCCAGAGGCCACAAGTTTGCTGAAGTCACAAAATACTGGAACACTGAGGGCTTGGAGGTGCTAGAGCACTGAAGCAGATGCCCTGCAGCTCCACAGCAGGTATGCTGAGGCACTGAACACCACATCACAGGAATCTTAAAGCAGCTGGACACTGACTAGGAACAGGCCAAAACAATAAAAAAGGTGTGGTGATCTGTTGACAGCAAAGAGCAGCAGGGAGCTCGTCTGCTCGCCATGATCAAGCAGAAACTAGCATGGAACATCTGGACAGGGGTGTGTATATATAGCCTAAAGGAAGGGTTTGTGACCACTAATATGGAGTCTGGTTTACACTCTACCCTACTACTGCTGCCGAAGTGGACCAAAAATGTAGGAAGCGCAAACCCAGAAGAAAGAGTGCTATATGGGTGGTGTGTTTAAAGGACTTTTTGCTCTTTACTATCCCCTGGTGATGTCTGGGCCTTCAGCTGCTGATTGCAGACTACCAATTTCAGGAACACTAAAAAGAGAAAGCAAATGGGAAAGGGTGATTTTTTTCAGTGTGCATTACATCCTCAGGAGACATTCAACAGGTTATTTATGGCCTTAGACAATGACTGGGTGAAGACATATCCTGTAGTGCAATATTCCCTCATGGCAGGGCTAGTCTAGTTAAGGATGTTTGTTCTCTCCCTCTCTCTCTCAGACCTAACCAAGCCAAAGCTTGCTGTTTAATGGTCAATGCCAAATCCTTAGTAGGTGATTCTTTCTTTGCTTGGCTCAAAGAGGATATCACCCAGTAACAACAGGCTGTCTATGAGAATCCCCAAAACTAGAAAGTACACACTCCCCTGAGGCACCTTGTCCCAATTTTTCCTCAGTTGAGATTCTTCTTTGCCTCTCTCAGCCTCCACCTCAATCTATATAAGATGACTCCAGTATTGCCACTCACTCTCTTTGGGTCACTCTGAAGCCAAACAGTCACAAGCATGGCTGAAAGCTCTTTTTGTTCAGAATATCACCACATTCAGTCATCACTAGGATTCATGGTCTATTACTGTCCAGTTTTTAAGTTCTCAGTCATTTTGACATCAGAGGTAACTCAACCAATCACCATCCTCACTCTACAGCTAATTTGCATGCAACAATTGGGTGTATGAGGGAGACTGTACAGATGGTGGATTACTTGGCCCCACTGCCCCACTCATGTGACAGCACAGGCTTTTGGCTACTAGTAATATTAGAGTTACTCTCTTCTTACAGCACTTTTAAGCCACAGATCACAAAGCTCTTTACAAAAAGTGGGCAAGTATCCACATTTTACAGATGGAAAAACTGAAAAATGAAGCAACTTGCCTAAAGTAACACTGCAAGTCAATGGAACTGCTACAACTAGAACCTAGGTCTTCTGGGCCCCCAGCCAGTGCTCTTTCCATGGGAGCATGTCATCTTCCTATGTTTCCATTAGGGGAGATGCAAGTGTAACCTTTGTGGCTAATAGGGAGATATCTCATTAAGGAAGCTAGAGGGGAAGGAGGAAGGAGTTGTGTCTGAGCTACTGTTGTTAGGCAGATGCACAATTAGCATTTCACACCCAGAAGTTTCTGGGCATGCTCAGTAGGTTCCCTGTAGCTGGCCTCAGACATTGAGGACAAGTAGTCAGAGTAGGTGCTTTACCAAAAGATGTATCACTTGCATGGGTGGCTTGGGAGAAGCTTAGCTGCAGGAGCAGAAGGTAGGTAAGCTGTTTTTCTCCAATTCTGGGGTATTTTGCAGCAGGCTAAGGCTATTGTTAACCTCCCAGCACAGGGAAGCCCTGGCAGCACTGGGTTTCATTTATATACTTAATACTGGTTGGTTCAGTAGTTAGCTAACTGAGTGCTTCCATAGTCCAGCAGAGGAGGAGAATGAGTCTGCCTGGGATCTAGGTTGAGATTTCTGCAAGCAAGAGGAGGGAAGATAGGGTTACAGTGCTTTTGACTCAGAAGACTGTATCGAACTGATGAACAAAGACTCAGGTGAATTCAACCTAAACTTTTAGAACTCACTATGTGTGAGGGAGGAGGGAACTAATCTCTTTATAATTCATTTGTTTCTTCTGTTTACATTTATGTAAACCAGAAGATAATGTATGTGGATTATGAAGCAACCTTGTTATGTAGTAAAAACTAAGCAATTAGTTTCTTTATCATTATAAGATTTTTATAAAGTTGGTATTTAAAAATTAAGTTAATTCCTTTTGTTCTTTTGGACTTGACTGTGGGGAGGTTGACCCTGTGCAATCCTTGCTAAAAATCCTCAGTGACTGAATTTTGGGTCTCCTTGTGCTTTTCTGTAGGAGCTGTGTTTAAGCACTAGGAGATGGCCAGTAAAGTAAACTCTAGCCCAGGGGTTCTCAAAGTTTTTCTTTCTGAGGCCCCCGCAATGTGATAAAAACCTTCACAGCCCACCTGTGCCACAATCACTGTTTTTCTGCATATCCAATAGATTAAAAGCCAGGGCTGGCATTAAGGGATAGCAAGCAGGGCAATTGTCTGTGGCCCCCCACCACAAGCGGCCCTGCAATGCTGAGTTACTTGAGTTTTGGCTTCAGCCCTGCGTGGCTTGGGCTTCAGATTTCTATGCTGAGCCCCAGAGAGTCTAACGCTGGCCCTGCTTTCTGGTTTATTTTGGCGGACCCCCTAAAACCTGCTTGTGGCTCCCCAGGGGGCCCCCAACCCCTGGTTGAGAACTGCTGCTCTAGCCCACCCAAAGGTACACAAAGCCTCCTCTTTATTTCAGACGAAGATCTGTTACAAAGCTCACAAAAGTCTGCTACTTTGTCCTTTTAAGATTTTGCAGATTAAGCTACTTGGAGCATCCCAGGAATGTGGAGATGTCACTAGTTTACTCTGGCTGGCTGGCCTGCTCAACGTTTCTTATCTTGTTCTCCTCACAATACTTTTATGTGTATTGTGCAGCTCAAGCCTTAAGTACATGTCAGACAGTAACCAGCAGCATTCTGTACATGCAGGAAGCTAGACAACTGGACTTGGAGGCCAAAAGAAAGCAAACGGGGTTGAAGGATGAATGAGGATAATCTAAGTACTACTTGAAGTATAAGTGTAAGTTTTATAAAGGCAAATTAAGTTTAGTTACCTACTAACTTTTTATATAGGGTTTTCCTATCAGTTCTCAACAGTTAGATTGCTCTTCTGCTATGCAGCAACAAAGACACAGTAAAACAGCAGAGAGTATCCCTTAACCCACTTTCTTTGCCCCAGCTGCAAATTCCCTACCTCCTTTGAAGGAAAAGCACTTCCAAAGGGAGCAAAATACTGGAAAAAATGCAACAGTTATTGTGAGTTATACCCAGATGAATGGTCTCTTCCCTATATACCCAAAGAAGAGGAAGGAAACTTTGGGTTGTCAGACTCATCAGGCTAGATTTTCAAAGGAGCCTCAACCTGGCCATGGTTTATCTAGATGTACTTTTGCACATGCAGATGCTTGTGTATTTATTCCTTGAGCACTCTCCCCTGTGTGTACAGCTGATAAAGTCTGCCATTTGCACATCAAAGTGATGGTGCTCCAAAATAGCCTGTACAGATATTTGGACATGTCCAAATGGAGGTGATGCTTTGAAATGTTCACCTACTATTGTATCATCTTGAAAAGAAACAAGTGTATAAACTAAACTTGTCTCTCTCTGATGGGTATGTGACAGTTTTACCCAATTGTAAAGTAACAACCAATGAAACACCATGAAGGGAGAGGGAAGAGAAGAAAATAGAAAAACCTCTCTTCACTTTAATCTCCTAGGGAAAATATTAATGATTTATTGCTCTACCATAATTAGTACAGAACACCCTTTGTCTTAAAGCTGCATCTGCCATGGCCCTCAGAACAAACTTGTAATGCTTAGAAACTATGCCGATGCTGGGCCATGTTGCAAATTTCTTATGCCTTAGGTGAACTTTAGGAGGAGGAAGATGAAAATCCATCTCTCGCAGTCCCCTCTAGCTTCTCCATCTCTGACTGCAGAGTTGTAGTCTGTTTATTTTTAAAGTCACTTAAACAACTTGACTTACCTAAGCTGGAAGTTACATTGGCAGTTACCGTAAAGCAAACCTCTTAAAAAATAAACAAACCACACTGTGCTGAATTGTAGTATTATTGCTCCTTCTCTGCATTGATTTTGCTGGAGTCCTTGAAGAAAAAGAGAGGAAACAATTTAGATTTTGCCTGCAGAGAATTCAACCCCCACCTATGCTAAAATTAATCACACTCACTCCTAACATATTTAGTAGCGGGGAAGTGCATTAATGTTGGTTTGCAAGGGGAAGGAAGTGGTTAGGAGACGCAACTGCGAGGTAGAAAGGTTCGCCCTGCCCTGAAAATGCTCATTTGAATGGGGAGGAGCAGATAGGTCAAGCAGAGGGTGCAAAGCAGTGCTAATTGATTGGAAGGATCTCAGTGGGAGATGCTTCCAATGGAGAAAATTTTTTCCCCATCTGTGGAATGGTGTGAGCTAATCAGGCCTGTCCACTGCCATGTATGTATCATATCTGGGGAACACCACTAGAGCCAAGGGTCTGTGTTATTTGTAGTGGAGGCCAAGATCAATAACAAAGGAAGACATTCATTTATAGTCCATAAGCACTGTGTGGAAATGGGCATCATGCAATGGTTTCATTTTGCAAATTTGCTGCTTTTTTGGAAACTGGTAATAGGTATTTGTGTGATCTAAGCCTGGCACTGAATCTTTAGATTCTTTGAAGGCTTTTTGTTTTTTCCTTGAAAGCTTTTGGATGGGACTGTCACCAGTGACCAATGTCCATATGCCTACAGAAATAATAAACAAGAATTGCACCAAATTTAACTCCTGTGCCAAGTTGCTTTAAGAGAATTTAATTCCCCTATTCACAAATAAATGGAAATGAGTAAATATTATTTTTCCTAATTTACAAAAATAAACCTTGGTCTCTGATTCCATGTGTAGAAGCTGTAGCAATGTACATAGAATTCATCTATTGAAATAACGTCAATTAACAATATTATGGAGCTCCCCAAAATTACTACATGTTAAATAAAAAATTAGAAGCAAATTTTCTGAGCATCTGTAACCCACACACCACCTGGGTGAGGTGCTCTGTCCCATCTAGTGGCACCGAGACCACTTAGAGAGAGAGATTAATAAGTCTGCTCTACAGCCTTAGCTAACAGCCCGATGGCTTTTAGCTCATGCAGTAGAGGCTCATGCACTAAGCTCCAGAGGTCCCCAATTCATAGAACCATAGAATATCAGAGTTGGAAGGGACCTCAAGAGGTCATCTAGTCCAACCCCCTGCTCAAAGCA